TATATATATATATATATATATATATATGATTAGAAAAAACACTCTACCGTGTAGATACTATGGTAGAAAAACCCACAATGCACAAACTAGATTTATTGAAGAAAAATCTAGTTTGTGCATTGTAGTTTTTTTACCACACACACACACACACACACACACACACACACACACACACACACACACAACACACACACACACACACACACACACACACATATATATATATATATATATATATATATATATATATATATATATATATATTTATATATATATATGTAGAAAAGGTATGAATGAGACTGGATATCTTCACAATACAAGATATGTATTTGACCGGTTTCGATTACGTCTTCAACAGAAATACATTTCTGTATGTATTTCTGATGAAGACGTAATCGAAACCGGTCAAATACATATCTTGTATTGTGAAGATATCCAGTCTCATTCATACCTTTTCTACATTTGTCAACATGGATACGATTCACACACACACACACACACACACACACACACACACACACACACACACACACACATACACACACACACACATATATATATATATATATATATATATATATATATATATATATATATATATATATATATATATATATATATATGTAAACACGCAACTGAGAGCGAGCGAGTGTGTGAGTGAGAAAGAGAAAAATAGAAAGAGAAGAAGACAGAAAGAGAAAGATAGAGAGAGAGAGGGAGAGAAAGAGAGAGAGAGATAGTGATACGAAAAAGAGCGTAATGAAAGAAAACAAGAAGAAAACAAAAAACACAAAGTTGAGGGTAACGAACACACGGAAAGCGGACCGACCGATTCGCCCGTTAGCATAATCAATTCAAAACCCTGGCGGCAGCTTTTGAAAAGTTATTGGCGCCGCCCCGAAAGTTGTTGATCGAAGTCACTGGCGCCATAGACTGTATATATTTTGATTTCCATGACTAGGTCTCTATAACCTTTGATACTGGACATGTTCACGGTTAAACTTTAAAATTATAATTGCAGTTCCATTTGCGTTGTTTATGTTTACTTACTATTAACATACTTATGCGGTTACGATACATACAATTATTATAAATATGCTATATAATAGGTATGCTTTATTTTACATAAGTTTAGGAGTATCTATAAATTGTAAATCAAAAATTAATAGATGTGAAAGGATGCAATCGTATACTTGCTTAAACAATGAATGGTAAAGAAACAAACGCATCATTGAGTAGAAATAAACATTGTTTCACAGGATCGCATTATGAATATTGTACATAAGATATATAAAAAAAATATTACATAACCTGTAAATCGATATGCACATGAGAGACAGAGGAAAAGAAATGACCATCATATATGAGTTATTTCGGGGTCGATGTCGAAATGTCCCGAGAAAGCCGTAAAGACGGGAACACGGGTTGGCAATATCGTCAAGACACGTCACTCACTGTCACCTGTCCGTGGTTCCTCTGCGCCCAAGACAGGTGTTTAGTTACTGTTTTGGAACGAGTGTGCACGTGTATGAACATATAAACGCGCACACACATGCTCACACACGCACTCACGTTCACAGAGATGTATACACACGACCTTACACACACACACACACACACACAGATACACACGCACACACATGCATACACGTACAAAGACACACACACACACACACATACACTCTCTCTCTCTCTCTCACACACACATACACTCTCTCTCTCACACACACAAACACACACACAATCAGAAACAAATTCACATATATAATTACAGACACGCACATGAATACAAACTTGCACAAGTACACACGGAACACATCGATACATACACACATTTTGACACATCAGTAACATTTTTCACCCCCGTTCGCCTACACATTTCTAAAAATCAATAACACCATAAAAAACTACACCACCACATTCAGCACCACATTCACCGACACAACACCAGCCAGGTGACATAGGCAACCGAAGTTATATTTGAATTTTTACTATCTTATTATCTTTTTCTATTTTCTATGTCTAAGTCGGTCGCTACTAACTTATTCTATCATCTATTCATATATAACATTCATTTAACTTACTTGACTGTTATCATTCAAAATAATAATAATAATAATAATAATAATAATAATAATAATAATAATAGTAATAATAATAATAACAATAATAATAAATCAATAAATATAGATAAATAAATAACTTGGTAAAAATAAATAAACAAACAAACAAAAAAATACATAAATAGATCAATCAATCAATAAAAAAGACAAAATGAAATAAACATAAAAAAATCTTAACAGTGGTTTATGATTTATGGCAGCTTATCAAACTGTACCTGAACAACTGAACACTCGCTGTAACATTGATCTGCAACTTGCACGTGGATCGTCAGTTTAAATTTCTTGTTTGATGACGTCACGGTCATGTGACCAGATCCCGGTCAAGATGGCGCTCTGTCTGTCTGTCCGTTTGTCAGTCCCCTTACTCTCTCTCTTCTCTCTCCCGCCCTCCTCCCTCTCTTTCTCTCTCTCTCTCCGCCTGCCTGTCTGTTTGTTAGTCTTCCTTTCTCTCTCTCTCTCTCTCTCTCACTCTCTTTCTCTCTCTCCGCTTGCCTGTCTGCCTGTTTCTGTCTGTCTGTGTCCCTGTCCTTGTCCCTGTCCCTGTCTCCCTCTCCCCCTAATAAATAACTAAAGCTCTTCCATTTTGTGATTTACAGACGGATCTCGACGGAAATTTTTCAAGGGAGAGCGAGAAAGAAATCTCAAAATGAAAAAAAAAAAAAAAGATCTAATTAGAATATTTCGAGCGACAGAGGGAGATGAGTGAGATGCGGCGACGGTGTAAGTGCCTCTCTCGGTCCCTCTCAATCAAATATGTTCTCTCTTTCTCTCTCTCTCTTTAGTCTCTCAGTCTCTCTCTCACTTTCTCTCTATCTCTTTTTTCTCAGTCTCTCTCTCTTTCTTGTTTATGTGTCTGTATCAGTTTGTCGTTGTGTTTGCGTCTTTCCTTTTCTGCTTCCTTGCCTCCATGCTCATCTATCTGCTTGCCACCTGCCTGCCTGCTTATGTACCCAGCTACCCACCCACCCAACCCCCCAACCCCA